GAGAGAGAGAGAGAGAGAGAGAGAGAGAGAGAGAGAGAGAGAGAGAGAGAGAGAGAGAGAGAGAGAGAGGCAAAGGAAAGAACACATTCTGACTGATGGGGGGATGGGGGAGGGGGGGGGGCTACCCCTTTCTCACCCTGGATTCCCAGTCTCGCTTTTCACATTCTGACTGATGTGGGGGGGATGCGCGCAGGGCAGGTGAGGCGAGAGGGGGTGTAACCCCTTCCCTGCTGGATGTGACAGTGCGCTTGGTCAATCCATACGCTGTACACTTGAATTCGCCGTCTGCAAATCTTCTTCTCCACTGCTTCAGCCCTGAAGAAGATGAGCCATGGAACTCCCTTCAGAAGGTCTTCAGAAGAAGAAGACGCCCCAGTTGCGCTCAACCCTGAGTGTCCCTAATCCTACCCAGCTCCGATACCAACTGTTATGAACTTGGTTGTCTGACGATTTTCACCGCCACTCACACAAAGACAATCTCATACATGCCCATACCTGCATAAGAAGAAGGGGAGAGGAGACAGAGTCCAACCTGCACACAGATCAAAGTAGGCAGCGGAATACAGCCATGCACAGATGGGGAGAAGACACACAGTGTTTCTCACTCTCTGACAATACTCCCAACAACCAATCACAAGAAGACACCTGCGAGGATAACAATAGGATTCACACTGATGATGAGCCAACTCAAACCAAATATCGTTACAGAGTTTATTCCAGTACCTCGCCACTCGCAGAACTCCACACTCCACTCTCTACCCTACACCCAGTTAGTAGCGCAACATCGAAATGCCCTCCCCAAAGGCCAGCGCCAACCACCCAGATGAAGAACAGGTCCTGGGATGAAGTCTTCAGTGTCGATGAACAACTCTGACGAGGAAACAGGCAGCTATGGCTGCCGCACCACTGACACAGCCCTAATATCTCCAGATGTGAGATGGGCGACAGTGGTCCACCCACGAGTACCCAGTGAAGGGCCTCGGTCTAGCCCAGCCAGATGCAGATACCCCCAGGGGAAGATGCGCTGAGGATGCTCCAGCTATGGCAACCTCCAGAAGGCTGGCTATGGCTGCCGTCCACGGCGAGGGTCTCAGGATGCCGCCTGTAGACAATCACCACCACCAACTTGCTTGGCTCCTCCAAACGCTGCTTCGCAAAAATGAACAGCCAAAAAGTCCCTAAACTATAGGCTCAGTCCTGTTAATAGACTAGCCTACTCTAGACCTAGACCTACTGGACCGGTACCGCATCAGTTTGGCCTGCTCGGCCTGGGCCCTACCAGGCTATGCGACGTCTAGACCGTCTCTACAGCCCAAGGCCCAGATGGGCCTGCTGTCCTAGTGATAGCCCGGGTCTGCTAAGGGCAGTAACGGCTAAGGGGAACTCGGGCCTGCAATTTTCGTGTAAATTGCAGATATGTCCCTCACGAACTTCCCTCAGGACTGGACTGGCGGTTAGTCCCTGACACAAACAAAATTACGAATCTGACCCTAAGACACGATTATACAACCTCGCAGTCAGATCTCGGCAGCAGAAATCAGCAAGTCATTGCATTTCAATACTGAACTGCTTGCAACTGAGTTTTGTGTTTCTTGAATTCATCCTCCATCCCACATCTCTGCCTGCATTGTACACGGACCTGGCCATTACATGGCCATTGTGCCTCTTACCACGGGGAGCTTTGGGGCAAGAGCACCATGGTCCATGCCATGGCTGGCATTACTGATTTCTCACACAACGATGCTGTTTCCTTGCCGCACCAGACCATTCGCACACTCTTTTATGTCGAAGAGCATTCCTCTGCCCGCGTGCTGCAGCAGGACAATGTATCAATGCTCTGCTACCTTCTCCTTTGCACAGCTAGAAACACTGTTACACTTGGCAGCATCTGTCATTGTCTCTGTCACATTCGCTATGATGACATGGTTTCTGCACCCATGTGTGTAGAGGACTGTCCCTCCTTTCCTGACTGCAGGCACCCTTTGTATCCGGAGTCTGGACATTATATAGTATATATCCGTTTTGCGGCTATGGGCGTTAAACTGAATGCATGGTCTTTTGTGGTGCCCATTCGTCGTTGGAAAACACACGGTTCTTCTTTGGAAAACACAGAGTTCTTGCATTGCAAACTGTGACTGGTCATAGCACCAGAAAACAGCCTTAGTTCTACACATATGTAGCCGTTGATAAGCAGGTCATGAGTTGGAATTCTGAGTTGGATGTATGTTTTTGAGAAGAGATTCTTTCACCTCCTGAGACAGTATTCATTGTGGACAATATGGAAACGGAGATGCCAACACACACTAGACGGACGAATACTTCCCATACCACAAGCACAGGAGATCTACAAGGACCTGATCCAAATGGACATAAGAGCACAGTGGAAAGGGGTCCATCACAAGATGCAGCAGAACCCAGGGGGAGCTAAGGAGATCCAAGCACAATTTGCCAGAGCGACCCTGGGCCCAGGGAAAATGGCTACCATCAAAGGTACGCACTTAACCTTTCACAACTGTACCTGAAATATCGGGAGAAGGATACTAGAGGACATGGGAGAAGAGGGGGGCTAGGAATAGGCTTATGGAGTGGTGGATACAGCTATAAAGTCTAAGACTTGGGTCAGTAGGGTTTAGGGTTTAAGCAAGGGAAGCACTTAGGGGTTATGAAGTATGCTAATGGGCACGCACCTCAGAGGACAACAAGTCTTCGCAAGGGAAGGTAGACAAGAGAGGCTAGCAGGCAAGGTCCAGGATTAAGTAATGAGGCTAACTGAGGCAGGGGTGAGGGGTGGTATATCCTTCCTAAGGGAAGCCATTAATGCCGTCCACTCGGACCTCTCAGCCATAATGGGGTGGAACGTGTATTGTTTCATGACTTGCCGGGGGAATAGGAACCGGACTGCTGCTCCCCAGAATGGCAGGAGCTGGAGCCAAAGTGGTTCCGTTCTTTGGAAAAAAAAAAGAAAAAAAAAAAGACTAAAATCTGACTGAATGCAGAGGCATGGGAAAGTTTTCTGGGCGTGGGGGCAAACATCCCTTCTGTCTCCAACTCCCTTTGTTGTTTGTCATAGTTGGTTATAGAATGGATTACAGATTATCCCTGCTGTGATTTCCATTCCTCTGCTTGGGCTTAAACCACCAGTACACCCGAGCTGGGCGGACTCACACTGTGCGCCGAGCTTTGCGGAATTGCCAGCAGCACCCTTTTTTTGTTTTTCGTCTGGCACCACCAGCCATTGTGGTCCGGTAGCCCAGAGCCGCCAAAATTTTAGGAGTAAGTCATTCGGTTTTGAGTTGGCTGGGGTTGTGTACCGGTGGTTTGAAAGAAGAATGTGATCCAAGCGCTTACATTGGTTGGTTGTTTGATTGTGACTGCCTGTGTTTTCTGTGCCCACAAACAACAGTGCACCTGTGCGGATACTATACATATTGTCATTTCCTGGGTTTGTTGATCTGATGGGGACTGTCCCTATTTTTTTCTTTAATCGGTAGGTTACCTCTCTCTACCCTATGCTCAGCTCAACACCCCTGCTTTAATGGGTGGTCCACTGGTCCTTCAATTATGTTGCACTGAAGCTTGTTTGTCATTATGGTGTCATAATTTGTAACGGAATCCAGCTCAGCAGTAATGGAAGCCCTCAACAACACTGCATAATCATGGCCTCTGCTTGCAGGGCAGGATGTACTCCATTTTCAGGGGAAAAGTCTTGAAACCAGGCACAGACACACATAAAGAAAAAGCTGTGAAACTCACCCAGTTTATATGTACCCTGTCCATGATGGCGCGGGTCGGAACAGGCCTATTGGTTGCAGGTGGTCGTGTTGCAGTGCTGGACAAACTGGCTTGTCCATCCTGGTGCGTCCTGTCCAGTCCTATGTGTCGTTGCATATGTGCGTGTGTGTGTGTGCGTGTTATGTTCACTATACACAATCCAACAAAAAAAAAGCATGACGGACCAGACTTTCGTCGGACTTTCACTAACTCAACAGGAGGCTGTGCGGTGTGCATATGCGTGTGCGTGTGCGTGTGCGTGTGCGTGCACTGTTTGTGCATGTGTGTGTTGTAAATTGTCACCACAACAAGCCCTTTTCCACCCAGATGAGCAGATCCAAAACTGAAACAGCTTTACCTCTATACGAGTCTGTAGAAAACAACATGAGGCACACTAAGACAAGCCGATCTAAAATTGGAACATTTTGACCTCTGTAATGACCCAACAAAACAAAGACTGAGAACACTGCTGATTTCTGGGTTTTGCCGCTGGAATGTATGCTTTGCTGAGAGTCCCGCGTTCTGCTGGGTTTTCTAAATCTGTCTATGTGTGCGTGCTTGCTGGTCCGTGTGCCTGTCTGGGTGCACGTCTGCCTGAGTGTGTGTGTGGCCCTGTGGCCGTGACTTTGAGGGTTGCAGCAGCGAAAACACTCAAGTAGCGGAGAGTAGGCCCGTGGGGTCCTCTGGGAGAGCACAGAAAAAAAGAAAATAAAAAAATTGCACGCCCAGGTACCCAATTCGTCCACCCTGGTGCCCGGCCGGGCAGGAGAATCTTCCTAGATGGAAAGTGAATTTCTAACATGCATAGACCTAAGTTTGAAATCGGGGAAGAAAAAAAGTGTGTGGTGGGTGGTAAACTTTGGGCATGGGTACGGCCGGGCATGGGTGGATGAAAATTGGTCGTGGATGCGGGCAGATGCGGGTGGAGAAAATTTAGGCCTGAGTGTGGCTGGGTAGGGGTAAGGATTCTACTGCAGATGCTGGGTGAACTGGGCAGGTGTACAAAAAACAATAATTAGCTCGGGTGGGGTGGGTCTGGATAAAAACAAAAAATTGACGTGGGTGGCACTGGGTGCGGGTGCACATGATATATATAAAGTTATAAACTATTATAAAGGCTTGGACTGGGTCGGAGGGCGGGAGGAAAAATTTGTTTGCCGATCTCTGCTCTGTACCAAACAAGATGAAGCACATTAAAACCTTTATACTGCCTTTCCCTTTTGCAGTCCTTTCTTAACTTCCGTTACTTGGCTTTCTTTTGGGGTACCTCTTCCATTTCTTCTTGCAGCTCCCCTTCTACTGTGCCTCTCACGTCCAAGGCTGGCCATGGTGATTGTGGTTGAGCGCAAGCTGCCCACATCCCCGTGTGCCATAACCGCTCACTTGCACGCTATGAAAGGAGGCAGAGTAAAGAGGGAGGTATACTCCTGTTCATTTCTCCTCAGATGTTCATGTCTGTTCTACTAGTGATGCTCGTCCGTATGCATTTAGTAGTGTGTGTGTGTGTGTGTGTGTGCGTGTGCGTGTGCGTGTGCGTGTGCACATACACATGTTGTTTTGCCACCTGGCATCTCTATGAGCAACATGTAGTGGATCTGTATAGTGCTTATGCTGAAACATCATATATTATGTCTACTGACAACTGTCTGTATTATGCCAGAGTAGTCCATGAATGTTCTTTTTTTCTTTTCTTTTTTTTTTGATAAAAAATTAAAAACTGGTCCTTATGGCCCTGTGAATGTTCTTTTTTATGCCAATGAACTGTGGAAGTGTCAGTCAAACAGCATTTTTTGGGGGGTTTCTCTATTTCTCCTTGAGTCCTCGTCCTTTTTATTTGACATAAATGAAGGATTCACGATCTGGATTGGGAAGGGGGAAGGTGAGAGGTCTCTCTCTTTTATTCACGAATCAAGAACGATTAGAATGCCCATTGGTACTACATGTGGTAGAGAGAATAGCAATGGCAAGTGGAAGGGCAGTGCTCTTGTCCTTCCTTTTTATGCCCAACATCAAGAAAAGGATAGCAGCAGCAGGAGGAAGTTATGCCAAGGTGTGAGATTAGTAGATCTGCTTGCTGCACGAGTAGTAAGTGGGGAAGCTATGCCAGCATCATTGAGCTGTACATGAACAGGGATCTAAGTGGTTTTTCTAAGCCGCAAGGTTTTCCTGTCTGGGTCTTCAGCAATGGTGAGCTGCATTTGATGGATATGATGGACAGCCAACAAGCTCTGTAGCAGGGAGTAGGCCTTACAGGCTTTCATGTGGTTTACCTTACAACATCTATCCAGTAACTGCATTCTGCAATTCTGTTTTGTCCCGGTGGTGCAGATATAAAGCAGCAGACACACCGGGTATTGACATCCTTGTATTCCTTCGGGTCTTGAGGTGAGCTTTTATTCTCACTGCTCAGTGCTTACCAAATACATGTTCTACTGGGACATCCTTGCCAGACAATTCGCTACCCGTGCGAGAGCATTTGGATATTCAACACAATTGCAAGCATCAAATCCTCTCTCCATGTGCGGTTTAGTCATGTAGACGACTATTCGTGCTAGTCAACACTGTCTATCCAAAACCAAGAGGGAGAACGAAGGACAGAAAAAGGAAGAAAACCGGGAGACCAAAAGGAACGAAAAAAAGGCGGGGGCCCGGGGGGGAACAAACAAGAGCCCTGGAGATGGAACACATGGAACAAGGGACACTGGTTTAACGCCAGCGATAGAACGTTGATGACAACTTGAAGAATCTTGGCCACTCCTTGCTCGTACTTCCTGAATAGTATACACACACCTAAGCGTTCATAAATGGTACACATCTCGGAGTGGATTACTAGTTTTTTACGATTTACCAGTATAACGTTAGGAGATATGCAGGTCGTTTTTTTTTTTTTAATATATATATATAGTTTTTTTTGTTTTTCTTTTGTTTTTTTGAAAACAGGTCCATATGGACCTCGCTCCATTCCATTCTGGGCAGCATCGGTCCAGTTCCTGTTCCACTAACAAGTCTCATATACCCCACACTGTGGTTTTGAAGTACCGGAGGGGCTTGAAGTGGTCCAGAGTGCCAGGTTGTTCCGTGATTGTTCCGGTTTCAGAAATTGAAAGAAGTTTGGAGGGGCTGTTTTCATAAGCTGGGGTGTGGACTCTCATTCTTATTACTTTCGGCATGTTGGGAACGTGTGTATGTCAAGAGCATTAGCTTTCCTGTTCCCAAATGAATGTTCATGAAGCATGGAACTGACAAATTGTTTGGTGCAATGTGTTGCGGGTTTTCGATTCGAACTTCGCAAGGGCATTATCGTCTTCGGGGTTCTGCAGGCCTAATGAGGATGGGACAAGCCACGGTCATGCGCATGAGTGACAGCATTTTCTAATTTGATTTTCCAACTGTTTTTTATTTTATTTTTATTCCCCCCTCTCCGCCCCCCTCCCCCCCCAGAAAATTTTGATGCTGTTAAATTGTTAGCCAATTGCCTGACCATAGCAAATCATATCTTCTTGCTGCAGCTTGTTTGCGGTTCGCCGAAGGCTAGGCGTTGTGGGAAACACTGTAAGGCGCCGGATTCTTCTGCTCACAGGATCTGTGCTTGTCATGGGTAAGTCCAGATGCGCAACTCTCATTTCTGCTGTACCTACTCTGTAGCCTCTAAAGACTAGGAAGATTGTCAAAACAATTTTTTTTTTTTGGTTTTCTGCGCTCCCCCAGAGGACCCCAAATCCGGGCTCATTTCTCTTTTTGAGAGTTGGCTGTCAAGGGCTGGGGAAGGGGGGTATAAATTGGTCTTAAAGGGGCTAAAGGGGTTTAAAGGGGGGTGCCTTAGTGTGATTCTGTTATTTTCTGTTTTTTTATCTCTGATTCTGTGAGGAATTCTGATGCGACCCTCAGCCAAGTCGTTTGTATTGCAATTCTACACAAGTAACACAACATATTTTTTTCCTGGATTTTTTATTTTTTTATTTTTTCCCTGCGCTGGGGCTGCCCGGAACCCTGCCCGGGAGTCATGCCCGGCCGGGCACCTGGTGGTGTATCCGGGAATAAGTTGGGTGCCCGGGTGCCCGGAAAAACAGCCTAGACTAAAGACAAATTGTGGGAAACACTGCGAAGCGCCGGATTCTTGTGCTCATCAGATCTGTCCTTGCCAGGGGAAGGCCTAATTTAGTGAACTCTCGTCTATTTTATCTACTTAATATCATACATGCGGCGCATCACGTGCGCCCAACTTACGCACTTGTGCCGCATAGCGCGCACACACATGTGTGCGCACACGTGATGCGGCGCAATTACGAATTACACAAAATAAAAAATTCAAAAGTGCAGGCTGTGGTAACCAAATGTGTGCCTCCCTTTGAAAAGCAAAGTGCACAGAAAAAAAATAATTTCGGGCCACATCGTACTCCTCGTTGGATTTAGTCTCTTTTCCAAAGGGTCCCTGCAAAGAATTAGCAGGGATCCTATTCATTTGGAAGGACGTTTATTGAACTGCTGGAGGAACACGAGCAGGCCAGCAATATATTTCTGGATTCGGATTCAGGTCTGTGTGTTCCACGAGTTATGGGTTACAAACTTACTCCAAACTCTACATTAGCTGTCTCGTTTTTCTGTTTTTCCTTTTCTTACGTGCAGTGGCCCTAAGGCCTCGCTCCACTCATCAGCACTTGCACAAAAGAAAAACATATGGCTTGTATGGTTCCAGTTTCTAGGAGAAGATTCATTCTAGTTTTGCACATTTGGTGAGTAATGGGGTGAAGCCCTGAAAATCACATGCCGAGTTAGTAAGTCAGTAACCCATAACTCCGGAAACACGGACCTGAATTCGAAGCTACGCCATATGTACCTGGCCTGCTCCCTCCTTACTACAAGTCCAGTGACTACCCTTCTCCTGCAGATAGGACCTTTGCCAATTTTTGGCAGGGACCTTTTGAAGTACCGGCAGGGGTTGTCTGAATAATTTGAAAACTCTCTCTCTCTCTCTCTCTCTCTCTCTCTCTCTCTCTCTCTCTCTCTCTCTCTCTCTCTCTCTCT